AGCGCGCCAGGCCGGGGGGGGAGCGGCTGGAAAGCTGTCTGGTGGAAAAGGACCCGGGGGTGCTGTTGGACAGCCAGCTGAAGATGAGCCAGCAGTGCCCCCAGGTGGCCAAACAAGTCAAGGCAATCCTGGCTGCTATCACTAAAAGTAGGGCCAGCAGGACCTGGGAAAGAACTGCGGCCCTGTACTCAGCACTGGTGAGGCTACTACTGGAGTTCTATGTACAGTTTTGGGCCCCTCACTAAAAGAAGGCCATTGAGGGGCTGGAGCAGATCCAAAGAAGGGCAACAAATCTGGGGAGGGATCTGGAGAACAGGTCTCACAAGGAGCAGCTGAGAAAACTGTCATTGTTTAGCCTGAAGGAGGCTGAGGGGAAACCTTACTGCCCTCTGCAGCTCCCTGAAACAAGGTTGTAGTGGGGTGGGTGCTGGTCCCTTCTCCCAGGTAACAAGCGATAGGACAAGAGGAAATGGCCTCAAGTTGCACCAGGGGATGTTCAGGTTGGATATTAAGAAATTTCACCAAAGGGGTTGTCAAGCACAGGAAGAGGCTGCCCAGGCAAGTGGTGGAGTCACCATCCCTGGAGGTGTTTATAAGACATAGGTATGGTGCTGAGGGACGTGGTTTAGTGGTTACTTGGTAGCATTACACTAACAGTTGGATTTGATGATCTTGGGGGTCTTTTCCAACCTAAACAATTCTATGATTCATGCACTAACTACAAGTGCAATAAACAATATTGTTATACTGGCAACAACACACAGGATTCTATGAAGGAAGCCTAAACTTTTCAGATGCATTTTCACTGCACTCACCTCATGCGTACAACCTTCAACAGTTTCCACAGCTTGCACCTTTACTTGAGGCATCAGGTCTGCCAGACTGAAAACATAGGAGTCAGGATTATAAATAGGGTATTTAAAAACCTTGTTTTCTTTTTAAAATGTTGAGCTTCACTTCCACTTTAACTGCAGCATTAAAAAAAGAATGCACAAAAGTGAAATGGAGAGTTGCACAGTCTAATACCAAGACTAAGAATACCAGTAAGTGTTAAAAAATTTTGCTACTCTATAATCTGCTTGAGCTACAGCTTTGGGACTTGTAACATCTCAAAAGTTTGCACCACAAAACAGCACTTGGATCACATTTGTTCATGTGAAGTTTTCTAATTACCCAGGGAACTCTTTTTTAACAGACAACAAAGTAAAATTCCAAATCCATATTCCACTCACTAGTCCTGACACTGAGTAAGAGCAGCCTGAAGCACGCCCACCAGCTGCCTGAAGATAAAACCTGTCTCCTCTTTACATTCCTTCTCCCATAGCCACAAGAAGAGGTTAGTGTCTCACTGCATAAAACGGTGGGTTTTCCTGAAGGCTTTATCATACTTAGTAAGCTGCTCTAGGCAAGTATATGTTCTACTGAGACTACTAAGACAGAAACTGACTTTATATGTTGACTTGTTCTGGTTTGCTTCTACAGAGGCAGCCTTTGTTTAGAGCATACCGAGAAGTCTTGTCATGACCTTCTCACAGAAAACCTTACTTTGAACTCAGGAAAAATCGCCACGTAAGACTAAATGACAATCCAAACCAGAATTCTGTCTGACCGAGTAAATAACAGACCATTCAGACAAAAGTATAAGGACACACCAGGCATACAATTTTTATTTCTGTAGTAGAAATTTCTACATCTGGAGCTAGGAGGTACACACTTGCATTTGACAGCTCTGCACAACCCTCCTAGTCATCTTCTGACCCAACACAAATTTGCAAGTTGCCAAGAATCTCTTAAGATACACTAAACTGAAAAAGCGTCCACACTGTCCCTGCAAACTGTTTTCAAAACCCCTCAAAATATCCACCATGAAGTTCTGGAAAGAAAAGAGCAAGACTCATGCAGATACCAAAGCAAAGAAATAGCATTCTGGCTTCCCTTCAGCTGCCTTATCTGCCCAGCTGTTGACGTGTGCAAGTACACACTACTCTCCACGTCAAACACCTGCCTTTTGTGCTCGAACTGAAAAGCACGTGGGCACTTCAGATTCCAAATATTTACTGCAGTTACAACCTTACATGCCTCAAAAGCCTTGCTCCCGTCTCACTGGCCAAACTCTTCCTGTATCACAAGACAATTGTGTATTTCAGTGGCGTGGTACACAGCAAGCCTGCCTTCTCCCACGTGCCTCACTGCTCACCCCATGCTACACGCCTGAAACCAACACAATAGCTCTCACCTAGAGCCACTGACCCCTGCGCAGCCTCCACACAGAGCTCAATGTTTCACACTGCAGCTCCCCATCTGTCCACAGTGTTATTTTTAAAATAGCCAACTGAACCTGTACTAAAAGCACACCCTCAGTTATATAGATAACAGAAAATTAAGTTCATATGCAAACTCAACTTTATATGAAAACACTGCAGCTGAGGCTGTAGCAAGGTGGGGGGTCAGTCTGTAAAAACTCCAAATAACAAGTGACAGAACAAGAAGAAACTGCCTCAAGTTGCACCAGAGGAGGTTTAGGTTGGATATTAGGAAAAATTTCTTCCCCAAAAGGGTGGTGAAGCAGTGGAACAGGGAAGTGATAGGAGTCAGCAGCCGTAGAGACACTTAAAAGGCATACAGATGTAGTGTTGAGAGACATGTTTTAGTAGAGACCTGGCACGGCTGGGTTAATGGTGAGACCTGATGATCTTAAAGGTCTCTTCCAACCAAAACGGTTCTACAATTATTCACAACAGATATGTAGCTATAACCAGTACATCTTGTTACAATTTCCTTACACATTAAGCTGAGCACTTACTTAGCATCTTCTGATATAACATCTTCCAATTTTGGCTTCTTTGCCAAAACAGCATCTTCAGCAGTACCAACCTCAGCTTCTCTTTTAGGCTTCCCTGTTGCAGCTACTGGAGATTTTTCCTCTGACCGTTTTCTGCAAAGTAAGCAGACAAGAAGCTTAAAACTTGTCTCGTTTAGGATATGCATTTTTTGAAAATAAATCCAGGTGTTCTACGGGCTACAGTGATCACTGCATTCAGCGCGCAATCCGGGGAACTCCACGCACAAAAACCGCCTCGGGTTTTCACGTGCCTTCCCGAACGAGGTTGCCCCCAGCTTCCCGAGCTCCCCCACCACGAACCGCACCACGCTGCCTGCGACTTTGGAGCCAGGGATCTTAGCGAAGTGTGTACCCTTAGGCTGCCCCGGTCACGAGGAGGTTCGGTAGCTCAAAGCTGGCAGAAACCGTGCCCAGCAGAGCGGCCCAGGCCTTAACCGCCCAAGCAGCGCC